TAAAAGCTTTTATAATTTATTTCGCTTTATTTTTTATTAGAATAGGCTTATAAAAACAAGAAATACCTTAGTTAAAACCCTAGATTTTATTATATTACCTAAATAAATTTAATATTAATAAATAGAAATAATTTGTTTTAACTAGCTTTTTTAATACAAATTCCTTATTATAAAGGCACATATAAAAGACTTTAAAGTAATTCTGGCTAAAAGGAAAATTAATAAATATTATAAGAATAGGATTAAAACTCTTCTAAATCTTTTCTATTATTTTTTCTTTATTAGAGATTAGTATATCTTCTAAAAAGCTAATCTTTTTTATAAAATATATTCTAATATTATTACTAGATAATAGAAAATATATATATTTATTTATTTTCTTTTATATAAAAAAGTAGTTAAATATAAATTATAAGTTTAATTACTATATTTATTCTATTTCTAACTAGTATTAATAGCCTTATATATTAGATAATAGAATTCCTTTAAAAACAAAATAATAAAATAAATAGAAATACTAAAGTTATTAAGTTTTTCGGATTAAAAAGTATAATATTATTAACTTTTAAATTTACTTTTAGCCTATATTCTATTAAAAATATAAGTTTATTTCTAGTAATATTTCTACTTATATAATAGTCTAGTAATAAATAGTAATTATTAGAGGCTATATAATAATCTGGGAATTCCTAAAGCTATTAATAAGTATTTTATTAAAAGTAATTATTAAATAAAGAACCCGGATATTTTATATCTCCAGAGAATTATTTTTAGTATTTCTTTTTAATATAAGCTTTTAGGTTCAGCTATTACTAGAAGTTATTCTAGAATTCAACTTATTATTAGTAATAACTATTAATATTCGAAATATAAAAACCTTATTTCTTAATTAAGTATATTATAAAAAGCCTATAATTATTATTTCTAGAAAACTAAAACCGATTATATATCTCTTCTTTAATAGTCTATAATAGGCCTATAGGGCTAGTATATTACTAGATAATCAATTATAAGAACTCTCTATTATAGAATTTTTATTTAGCTAAATTTATTAAAATCAAATTAAATTCTTTATAATATATATTAAGATTCTTCTTTATTATTAATATATAATATAAATTAATTCGTTTCCGTTTTCCTATTATAATAGGTTTATTAACTTCAGGCAAATATAAAGTTCTAATATTATTAGCCTTTAATAACTTTACTAGTAAAATAGTATTTTTCTTATATATTTTCTTGAAATATTTGACTTAATTCTCTAAAATAATACTCTTTTATAATTAATAATAAGCAGGCCTTATATCCGGTTTCTTTTTCTTATTCTATTATATAGAACTATAATTATTATTATTAAGGGGCAAGCGGTATTAGAATCCCGAGTTCTCTAAAACAGATATAGCGGCTAAAGATACTATTCCTATATTTATAAATAAGAATAAAATATAGGACTAGTAATAGGTAATAATTATAATAAAGATTACTTAAAGAAATCTAAGGCTAGTAAATTATAAGAGCTTAATTAATTAGAGTTAATTACAGGAGTTAATAGCAGATATACCTGCCTAACTATTAGTAGATACTAGAGATATATAAAGGAGAAGTTCTTAATAGAATTACAGAAGCTCTTAATAGGATTATAGGATTAATTAATAGATATAAGAAAGTCGAGAAGTATAGTACGGTTACTGACTAAAGTAACGTATATAGTTACCGGCAGGTACCGAAAAACGAATCCAAATGTTATTAGATACCGAGAAGAATTAGTCTATTATTTCCCTACTAAAATATCTAACCTGAACTTAATAAAAAAGCGGAAGCGTCTGGGTTAGGTAGGTGAGTAGGTACTATGATCCTTCCGTCTTCGTTTAATACGATTAATAGTAGATATACTTCTCTGGCCCGGTAATTCCGAAAAATCATTTAAAGTATTGCTAGTAATCTATTACGGAATAGACATCCTGGTGGGCCCCAACGATGGCGAAGGCCAGAGTAGGGCAGAAAGATGATGTATTCTCTATGAGAGATAGCTAGCTAAAGTACCTTCCGCCCCTAGCGGCTTACGTAACACTCTGCGCATTCTGATTTGCTTTGGAAGTGGTAGATCCTTCCCTGGATATCTTTATTATGCGATCTGGGCAGTCAAAGTTGCGGTAGCGGCCTAACTTGAGTTAATGTTTAATAAAAGCAAAAATGTCAGAGAGCAGATTGACCAGACTGGTTACACGTTCCGGTAGAGCGTTACGGGGAGCTCCGTTGCATTTCAACCCGGTTAAAAGCAACCCTAGACAATAAGGTCCGAAAGGGCTTCGAAATCAAAGCAGCAATATCACTTTCTAAATGAGAAGGTCGTGCTACCACTTGCACACTGGTCTTCATCGTCCGTTTCTATGAATCTGTCAACCCAGGCCTCGACGTCTACAGTTCGGCCACGACCCTGTCTTGTCCAAGAGGGAGATCCGAGTGCCTCGCTGATGGTACTGGAGAAAGCATGTTAGCGCGTGTGGACAATTTTGAGATTTCTCAAACTCAGCTTATCCACCAGGCAGAGTTCCGCTTGCGATTTTCTATTAGTATGGATTTAATTGCAACAGCACTTGGAGTCCGCAGTTACCGGGATCCAGCTTCAGAAATACTAGAATCAATGAGGTCTACGCTATTCTTCAAGTTACAGAGGATGGATTTTTGCTCAAAGGGCCATGGGATACTTCGCTCTTGTGGTAGAGCGACTTCCTTTGCTTGATCAATGCATTCCCCGGCTCAAGGAAACGGACGTTATGTACCGTATACTCTCAGAACCTGTGGAAGAGGGACTCAAGTCCAAATCTCGATCTTTAAGCAGTCTTTTCATCCTAAGTAAGCTCTGTTGCGCAGGTTTTCCTATGCATTGGGTGTCCGCCTCTCTATAATGCAAAGAGAAGAAACACATATTACCTTGAAGTCTGATGATGCTGTAGCATGAGCTTATGTTGTCACTGGGGAGAAAATCGATGTGATAGACGGCGAATGCGAAGAGCTCCTACAATTAAGGCAAGACGAACGTTTCGAAGTCTTAATCGATGTTGGTTAGTCCTTATGGTCTATATCCGCAACCCATTCCTCACATCACAAGTTCCAGTATCCGATATCTTTGTATTTAATAACTAATCTATCTTAGTAGATATCAACGATGGAACCTAGTATACTCTTTAATAGCACCGCAAAGCCATCTTCCCCTTCTCCATTATTAGCATAAGTTGCGCATACGCCTGGAGGGTCGCCTCAAAGCTCTCAATATTCTTCACCTGGACCCTCATCTCAACAATCCGCACCTACCTCCGATCAAATTTATCCTTCAAACAATGCTGGCAAACCGGCAACATTGGGATGACATCCAATGGGACCTTTGGAAATACTGGATCCGGTTCGTCAACATGATAGAGCAGCCTTCGTCTCCCTTTTCCTTCGAAGTATGGCTTTAGATGACGAGATGGCTTTCTAGCTTAAGTTGCTCACTGTATTCGCGCGACAATGGTGGGCTGCTAGCTTTTACACTTCTAGTGGGTTGTCGGAGAAATTGCTTAATTCACAACAGCCGCTGATGCTCACGATTTTAAGACACGTGTTGTGTTTTTTGCTGTTAGTTTTATGATTATGGTTGTGTGGGTTATGAGGAGACAGGATTGGATGATTGCGGTCGCGACTTCGTTTTTCTTTGAGCCTTTTGTGAGGATCCTGTTTCAATTGGGGGTATATCAGTATAGCTTGGACTTTTTTTGGAGTGCTGAAGGCAATAGTCCGCTTCGGATTGTTAGACGGGTTACTTATGCTGGTTGTTTTTCCTATTATTGTAAGTATAGATGGTTATAAGAAAGAGAAGTCTTGGATGGTGTGGTCTGGAGGGGTGTTATTTGCTTTCTAGCTGTTTATTGTGCGGTTGGATTTATATAAGGGTTATTTGGGAACCTCTTTGCGTGATAGATAATCAAGCTTTTCGATTTTGCCAAGATTGTCATCGATTAAAAAAGTCGATATGTTCCAAGATAGGCAACTTGGAAACGGGCCATCCCTCCCACCGTAGAAAATGCCTCCCTCCTTAAAATAATAAACCGTATCTTCAAGCAACGCAACAGAATTAGCCGTGTAGCTTGGCGGCGGTTCTTCTAACCCCGTAATGGAGTGTTAGTTATAATATGCCTCTACGACAGGTCGGCACGGTAAGTACAGGAGCATCTTGTTACGGCCTTTGTGCATTATGGGCATGAGCAGAAACTGATTAGGGTAACGCTGGCAAAAGTGAATATTCGCACGCTTCAAAGCAAGGATACAAAGAACTGGCAGGGCGACACGGGGGTGGTGTATTAGTCCGACTAGCGCAAAACGAACCCCCTCAGGAAATAGAGTCAAAACCTCAATTTTCTATGGTATTTCGTTTGGTATCAATCGACCATAGGCATACTGAGTCGACCCGGACGAATGGCCAATTGGAGTGGGCGTGCGCCTCCATCGCCGTTTCCTACCTGACGCCCGAAACAAACACTCTTCCTCGCTATTAACCAATCTCACTACCCCACGTCTTTCCACCATGAACTCCACGACTTGTGATCAGAGGCCGAGTAGCCCAACCACCTGCCGCCTACCATCCATTTCACACATCAAGGCTGACTATTGGCCACCATTTTCTTACTACCTGAAGCCACCAGCATCTTTGATAAGGCAGAGCGATCTCGCTTCTATGCTGCACACCCTTTTCGTCAGTAGGGCATTCCTCATGCATATGTTCTGGTGTCGTTGCAGCAGGCTGCGCCCGACTCAGCAGCAACGGATCACAAGGCCGTTATCACAGATCCAACCAAACCAAATGCGGAGACACAGCCATGTCTGCCCATGAACAAGTCTTATGCTTTTCTGAAATTCTCGGCATCGCCCTGCTTTTCCGTTCACTGTTATTCAACCTCTACCAGAAGCATCCCTTGGTATACATCAGACATCAACAAGCTCGGACCTGAGTGACTTCAATCATGGCTGTGAGCATTGGTAACGGTCAACAGCGTCTGTACCCTTTGTCAGTAACGTTCAAGGCTACAATTCTGGATGATATTGCCAAGTTTACTGTCACACACAACTTCTACAATGATTCCAGGGCTAGCCTAGCAACTGCCGACTTCACCTTCCCACTTCTACCAGAGTGCTCAATTTTGGACTTCAGTTGTACCTTTGGGGGATCTGCTGGTAACAACAGGGTTCTAAGAGCGATAGTCTTGGAGAAACAGACGGCTCGAAACAGATTCTGTGACGCTCAGAAAGAGGGCAAAAAGCCAGGTCTGCTCGAGCAAAGCTCTGGTGATGTCTTTAAATCGGCCGTGGGCAACGTACTTGCAGGGGCTCGGATTCGGACAGAGATTGCGTTTGCTAGCTTCTTGAGGCGCCGTGTCCGCCCTGATGGGACAGTTGTCACGACAGTGACAATACCCATAAGCATTGCCCCTCGATACGGTCGCCCGCCTCCAGAATGGGAACGCACAGGGCTACCACTACCGCCTCTCGGCCTCAGTGCTGAGCTTCAGATTCACACAGAATATTCTTCGAGCATGTCCGTAAATTTGGTGTCAGATCACCAGAAATGCACGACCTTTGAGCAACGGGCTAGGATATATCGGGGCGACGACACAGCTGCGCCAGCAATGACCGTGGTGAATATTCGAAACAAGGACCCTCTCCAGAGAGGCGATGTCGTGCTGGATATCATTAAGGGACCAGAGCCTGAGGTGCCCATGGCTTGGCTAGAAGCCCATACTGCAAAATCCAACCATTACGCAGCCATGATAACGCTTCCAAAACCGGTAGCGCAGTCGATGCATGCCGCTCGGGCTGGTGTCAAGCGCGAGATCATTTTCCTTGCAGACAGGTCAGGCTCGATGAAAGGCAAGATCGAAGGTCTCAGAACGGCCATGACTGTCTTTCTCAAGGGCATTCCCCTAGATCGCTATTTCAACGTGTGGAGTTTCGGGAGTCAACACCAAGCCCTATGGCCACGGTCTGTGCAGTACAGCAAAGTGAATCTTGCACATGCTCTCAGATATGTAGGGGGGTTTGAGGCAAATATGGGCGGGACGGAGATCCAGCCAGTGCTTAACGATATCATCCAAACTTCAGCCACGGATGGGGAGACAAAAGACGTTGTGGTTTTAACGGATGGGGAAGTCAACGACGAGATTATGGGGGCGACGTTGAGGCTTGTTGCGAAAGCAAAGCATGACACAGGGGGGCGCATGCGATTCTTTGCCCTAGGCATCGGCGACGAGGTATCGCACGCCCTCGTAAACGGGATTGCACAGGCTGGTGGAGGATATTCGAACGTTATTGGGACCGCAGATTATAACATGTGGCCGGACAGGATGGCGGCGGTGTTGGAAGCTGCTTCAGAAGAGCATCTAGGCAGTGTGCAGGTGCAAGTCGATGCTCATGATATTGTCCAGCCTCATGAAGGTAAGTGCATGACCTTCATTTCAGCCTTATAAGTTAACTCTAAAGGTACTAACCTTTGCAGCTTCTTCTTTCCGGAGACCTATTCCCTTGCAGTCACCTGCTGATCTGGCTTTGCTTCCTGCCTTCTCTCGTAATCGAATATTCATGTTGTTTGACCTCCGAGTGTGGAGGCATGAACCCCCCTCGTCCATCACAATAACGACCAGGAACTCGTTAGGACTCGTCGTTCGCCACGAAGCCGTTACTGTACATCGAGCTTCCGGTACCAATACCCTCATACACCGCCTGGCAGCCCGAGCAGCCATTGGAGATCTTGAGCGTGGCGAGAGCTGGGTTCAGTTGAATCCGAGAGGACCTGAGCATGGATCTGAACAGGAGACAGCGCTAACTAGGAAAGAAGGTGTGCGTCTTGGGCGCGAGTGGAATCTTGTCTCAAAGTGGACCAGCTTTTACCTGGAGGAGTCTCGTCACCCAGGAACCTCAGATCCATTTTTGAATACTCCGCCCCAGGCTCCGAAGAAGAGCCAGAAAAGCTGGAGCAGCAGAAACAAGGAGCATAGAAGCTCTGTAAGCAGTTCGGAGAGCCATGGTCTGACACCACAATCACCATCATCTGACGGCTCGCCATCGCTCAATGGTACAAAGTGGCCTAAGTCTAGCAACTTCCAACCGCGCGACTCGGGGTTTGAGGTATCTCGGAATAAGGCGGAGAGCAACGACTTATCATCCTCTCTGGGTAAAACATTAAAAGCAGATGACAACCAACGTGTCTCTTCTCTGTCTCGTGATACATCGGAGGTCTCTGCCATCCAAGAGACCATAATCGCGGAGGCGCCGATTACCCATTTCAATCAGAACGACGTGACCATCGGCTCCGACCTCAACCGTAACTTACCAGATAGTCCACATAGTACTCTAGATGAAGGCGATAATTTTGGGGCCCCAGCAGTGACGCTAAGGCAATCAGCTCTTATTGACAGTACCAAAACTGCTGTTCCAGGCTCTGCAGCCAACACAGTACCCCAACGTCCTCAGGATGAGCACTCTTCTCCGACCTCTGACATGTCTATGGAAAACAAGGACAACGATAGCATTCGTTCATGGATACTTAAGGACTTCGACGTCAGCGCCCCCACTTTCAACCCTCCAGCTTCAAGTGCCATATATGAGGTTCCAGAAGAAGACAGCACAAAACAACGGAAAACAAACGACTTAGAGAAAGAGAAAGTTCTTAAGTTAATCAACCACCAAAACTTTGACGGCTCGTTCAATTTCGAAAATCCACTAGTTGCTGCTGAGACGACAATGTCAAAGGTTAATACGAGGCCGAGGCCAGTAGGATTCTTAAATGGAATATTTCGAAGTCAATTTCGATCACAATCACCACAAAAACGATTGCACAACAGACCATCGCTTCTCAGGCATATATTGGGCGGATCGAGCTCAAAATCAACACAGATATCGGTCGAAACTCATATAAATGAGTTCCTTGGAAATGATTTCACGATGCTCACCAAAGCGTTGCATGACTTGGCGCAACTAGATCCGTCACTCCCAGATACCATGGCCACTATTGTGCTGTTCGAGAGAGATCTCCGCGATTACTACACCCTTTTCAGTCAGTCTCTTCGCAAGGCGTACACCTTTGTCGATGGCTCTATTCCAGACCCAGAGGAACGGTCGGTTTGGATGGATTATGCTAGGGCGATTCTCTCTAGAACACCCGTGGCTACAAAGCCTCCATTGCCAAAAGGAAAGGGACATATTTGTGTATGTGCTGTGTGCGGTAAAATTGCAGAAGGTCAGAGCTATGAAGCTCACGAGCGTGCTGCTAGCGGAGACACAAACACGAGAAACTTGTCCCAGCTGTCTCGCAATTCTTTTGTGCAGGACCACAACGCAGAAGCCAGTACCGAGATCACAACTACCCAGCACTCCAAAGAAAAACCTCGCAGACTCGTTTTATTCGAAAGCATTCCCGAATTCAGAGATAATACCTCCGGGGGCTAATTTAACGCAAAGAGTTTTGATGGTGGGTGGTGAGCTGGATAGGAATGAAACGTTTGTTGGAAAAGCAATGCAAGCCTCTGAAGGAAGACAAGGCGAAAGCAAGGAGGTCTGGGAAAAGCAGTAACGAGTTTTTATATCTGTCGTGCTTTTATCTAGGGTGAAAAGGCAATTTGATTACTATACGCAAGTAAATAATGATCGGGTGCTTCACTTATCGACTCTACTTCTCTATTCAAAGCTCACTGTTCGATAACTGAAAATCATAATTGTTTTTAAAACTGAGTCTAAACGACATGTCTGGCCGACGGAATTATTGCCGGCAGATTTTTGACCGACAGATCCCGTGGCCGACAAGGCCTGGCTACATGTCGTCCAGCCACACGTATCACACGTATTGTCCAGCCACACGTATTGTCCAGCCACACGTATTGTCCAGCCACACGTATTGTCCAGCCACACGTATTGTCCAGCCACACGTATTGTCCAGCCACACGTATTGTCCAGCCACACGTATTGTCCAGCCACACGTATCGTCCTGCCACGCCTTTGTCGGCTAGCCATATATGTCGTCTCGCCCCTCTTGACCTTAAGTTCTTGAGAATAGAGCATCTTTCACTTAACACATTACAAGTTTTGTTGCATGGGAAAAGCGCTGCCTATTGAATGGAAAGCGCTGCGGGTGCGGGCTGCTCCAGTGCAATACGTTAACTTGCTTGTCGGAGTGGTGGACAGCAATGAAGCGCACTTTGGGCTGCGGATTGAGACGGCGTATTCTGTGAGGATCCACCGCGCTTGTGACCTTTCTTCTGCCTTTCGTCTACAGACTTTGCAGACTTGACAGACGGCCGCAATCGGCTCGATCGGTGATCGATCGATAATCACGCTAATTGGTCGATAATCGATTAAAGTGGGTCTAGTCAGTGAGGGGCCCGGCAGAATCTACCCTCCTATTCTTATTCTAAATAATTAATTAATAAACTAATTTTTTTATTACTTGTTCAAATAATATACTTAATTTAAATTATATTAAAAAGATAATTATTTAAGTAATTACTAATTACTTTATTATAAAAAATAAGAATAAATTCTTAATATTTAATTAATAATTTAAATATATTAATTATCTTATAATATTATAGTAATAATAAAGAGCTTGAATTAAGCTAAAGGCTATATATCCGACTAAAAATACTAGCTATATACTAAGTTATATATAGTAATACTATATAACTAGTACTATATAATATTTTAGATCTTTTCCTTAAATAATAATTTACTTTATATAAATTATTATAAAGTTTATTTATTATAATTATCTCTTTATCCGGTGAGACATGATTTATACTAGTAGCTATATTATGCGAATAGCCTAATTAGAGGAAATAATTATATTCTTACCTAATAAGAGATATTTATATACGGCTGCTAGTACGAACTATATCTTATTAGATAAAGGAATAATTATTATAATTGAGCTTTTAATCTTATAATTCAATATAATTATTTAACTAATATTATTTAACTAATATTATTTAACTAATATTATTTAACTAATATTATTTAACTAATATTATTTATATTTTATTACTTATATTTATTACCTCTAATTATTTTCAGATTAAATAATTATATATATAATATAGCTATATTACTAAGGAAATATTTTTGAAATATATATAAAGATATTTAAAATAATAAGCCTTTTATAAGATAATATATTATAAGATATATATTTATATTTTATAGCTTTTTATATTATAGCTTTCTTTTTTTTAGCTTTAAATTATATTTATAAAAGACATTTTATTTTGCTTTCTAAGCCTAAACTATTATATTTATAATAATATTTAAAATATAATTTCTTTAATTTTATAAATAATTTTAAATTAATTAATTTAGAACTAATAAAATAAAAACATTACTAAAAATAATAAAACTTTAGAAATATAAGTAAAAGACTTTAAAATAATAAATATAAAAAGCTTTAAAATTCTTAAAGAAATTAAATATTTGAATTTTAATAAATATATATTAGTAATATATTAGAATTTTTTTCTAAATCCCAAAAATTAAAAAACTTTTTATAAAAGCTATTTTTTAATTAAGTTTTAAAATAATAGGTATTTATAAGCTAGTAATCTAATTATTATTCTTAAGCTTTATTTTATAATTTTATAGGCCTTATATATATACTAGTAATAAAATTACTAAAAAAAATATAATAAAGAAAAATATAATTAATTAATTTTCTAGAACTTTATATAAGTTAAAATAATATTAATTTTTAAAACTTAAATAAGCTTTTATTAAATTCAATTATCTTATTAATATTTCTAGAAATGTTTTTATTTTATTATAAAGCTTTTAAATATTAAGAATTTTATAATTATTAAAACTCTAAAGAAATAAACTAAGAATTTTGAATTTTTATTTAAAGAAATTAATATAATTATTACTAGTTATTAGAAAATTATTAAGAAAGTTATTATATATAAAATAAAATATAAAAATATTAAAGGCTTTTTTAATAATACTAAACTTTATGAATTTAAATTTAAAGAAAATATTAAATATTATTAAAATATAATAAATTGGCTTATAAAAGATTTAATTACTTCTATTTTATTTGTTTCTATTTTTATTTCTTAATTTATTTCTTTAACTTTTTCTCCTAAATTATTTTTTTAAAATTATTTTATTTTTATTAAAAACTTCTTATATTTTAAACTTTTTTTTATTTTTTTAGAAATATTAGAGCTATTATATAGGATATATAATAATAAGATAATATATAAGTAATTAAAGTAAATATATTTTAAAATAATATTTATAAATATAATTAATTTCCAAGAATTAATTCTAATAAAAAACTAATAAATATTCTTTTTTAAAACTAATAGCTATTATAAATATAGTATTTAAGGCTTGAAAACCAAAATAGAAAGTTTCTTATAAAGATAATTTAAAGCTAAGAAAGAGAAAACTATAATATAAAAGCCTATAAGAAAATATATATATTTTATAATATATTAATTTATAAAAGACTTAGTTTTCTAAATATCTCTAATATATTTCTAGTATATTTCAAGTATATTTCTCTAATAAAGCAGCTATATTATATATCTAGAATATAACGAAATATAAAGAATAATTAGATAGCTATATTAGCTAATAAAATTAAAAGCTAAATTATAATATTACTTTTCTTTTTAAAATAAGCTTATTTCCGAGCTTTATAAAAGCTATTATTTTATTTAATTTTATATTATTTTTCTTTCTAATTCTTAAATAAACTAGTATTTTATATATAAATATTATATATAAAAGCAAGTGCCTTTAATCTATAACCTAAAAGAATTTATTATTATTTTTATATAATTTTAAACAAGTATTATTTTTAATATAATTTGGCTAGTATTATAGGTTTTATAGAGATTCTAGTATATTAATATTATTATTATAGAAATATTATAAAACCAGAGAGCTACTTTTTAGTACTAAAACTTAATACTAAACAAAATTCTATATTTTAGTTTAATTATAATAATTTATTTAATATTATACTTTTATTTACTATTTTTTAATACTAATAGAGGCAATTCCGGATTTACTTAATTTAATAAAGAATTCTAAGAATTCTTTTATAGCTTCTTTATATAAAAGACTAGATATATTTTATAGTATTTAATAGATTTAGAAGAAATAAATAATTCTACTTTTCTAAAATTTCAAATAGATTCTTTATTTAATTCTCTAGCTTTTAGTTTAAATAGTTAGATTTCTAGTATTTTATAATAATCTATATTTTATTTCCAATTTTGAAATTAATTAAATAATAGTATTTATTAGCTTATATTATATATTATTTCTATATTTACTTTATATAATTTTAATTTATATTATAGTTTGTTTTACTTTTTAAATAGCTTTTAAAATCTATAGTAATATATTACTAGAAGTAATTAAAAACTAAAAGAAAATAAAGCAAATTAGGCTTTTTATTTCTTAATATATATAATTTTTAATAAATATAATAATTATTATAATATTAATTAATATTTTAATTTATAAATAATATAATATAGCAGGCTATATTCTCTAAAAAATTATATTATTTTAGTAGTTTTAAAATTTTAATTATATAATAAAAACCGTAGTTTTTTATATATAACTTATAGGAATTATATAAAAAAGCTGGTTTTTCTATAGTTCTAAATAATAATTCCTTTTCTATATTTAACTAATTAAGCTTTTATATACTATATACTATTTATACTTTACTAATTATATTTTTAATTTTATTATTTTATTATTAAATTACGTTTTATATTCTAGTATATTTTATATAGGTTTTTATTTTATTATAGTTTCTTTCCTATATATTTTATAATAAGTAATATAGGGATTTCCAAACTTTATAATTAAGGTAATACTTTTATAAAGTTCTAAAAGATTTCTATAAGGCGAATTATTAGCTTAATAAGTTTAGAGAAAAAAGAGCTATTATAATATCTTAAGTTTAAGGCTAAAATATTAAAAATATATAAGTATTAATCTTAGTATCTTGTATTAATTTCTAATATATTTAGTAACTTAAATACAGGTTAACTATAAGATATAATTACTAGTATAATATATAAAAGTAATAAAAATAAAATATCTTTAGTTTAATAAAATTAAAAAAGGATATTATAAATATTAAGCTAAAGAAATAGAAATAAAAGTATAAATAATAGAAATAAAACTAGAAAAACTATTATTTTATTATTACTAATACTAAAACTTAAATTTAGATTATATTTATTATTATTAACTAGTTTCTTTTAAATTCTGGGTTTTAAACTAAAAGATATATTTAAACGAGAAATTAGTTCTTTAGAAATCTTATTAGTAAAAGTTTCAGATATAGAAACTTTATAATTAATTATAAAAGAAATTATTAAAATTAATATAACTAAAAATAAATATATATTAGTACCAGAGTTAAATCTACTATTTATAAAAACTTCTAAAATATTATAATTTTAAAGAAGTAATATTTTTATATTCTTAAAATAATATATAAATATATATAAGAATTATTTTATATTTAATAATACTAAAAAAATTTATTTATTTATTATATTTCTTTTACTTATAAGAATTAAATTAAGGCTATATTAAAATACTATATTAATAACTTAAGATATTACTAGAAAACTTAAT